GACCTGAGCCGATGTCGGACGCTTAACCGATTGAGCCACCCAGGTGCCCCTTTTTTTTTTCCTTTTTAAATATGTCTACACCCAATGTGGGGATGGAACTCATAAACCCAAGATCAAGAGTCACATGCTTTTCTGACTGAGCTAGCCAGGTGCCCCACTAGGGTGAAAATTCTTAATGCACTCTAATGCCTTTTAAGGCTCATTTAATTTTTGTAGATCCTAGGCTTTTAGGTGTGTTTTAGTTTGCATGGCTGCTATTTACCATGTATTTGATTATCTGCCTTCCTATCTCAGGTTGATCTTCACTCGAAAGGGAGTACTCCGTGTGGAGGGGTTTCTGAGTCCCCAGCAAAGTGACCCTGATGCCATGAACCTGTGGATTCCCTCTTCCTCCCTTGCAGAAGGAATAGACCTAGAAACCTCAAAATACATCCTGGCCAACGTTGGGGACCAGTTCTGCCAGCTCGTGATGTCAGAGAAAGAGGCCATGATGATGGTGGAGCCACATCGTAAGACACCCACTTCCTTGTCTTCCAGGCACTTCTATTTGGGAACTTGTATTTTCTGTTACGTCACAGGAGTAGAAGGAGTGACAAATGGCATTCTCTGTGGACAAATTAAGACTGATAAGACTTCTCTTTGTAGCAAACTAAGGAGCTGAGGCTCTAACTATATCCAGCAGACATTATTTCTTCCTTGATCCCTGTCTGGGTTTGGGTCACTCTAAATACTTTGAGTTTGCTTTGAACCTATTTGTATTAGTAAGTGATATTATGTGGTTTGTGAGTAGATGAAGTGCTAGTGGGTACGATGTTTCATACCTAGAACCCACTGTTATTCAGACATTGATGATGTTTCCATATCTGTGAGATACTGTACCCTATTTCTACACCAAGAAAAATTCTCCCAAGACATTTATACCTACATTTCAAGTGAAGAATCCTCTTATTTCAGACTCCCCCACATTGACATTTTTACAGTATCTTTAAGTAACAACACGTGGCATTTATATCGTTGACACTTGTTTAGAAATATTAACAATTCCATCTATTTTGTTTCTCTTACATTTATAGAAACACTAACTTCTTGCATCTTTGAGTTTGATTGCTGGACAAAACAGTTTGAGGAGCAGTCAGTGGATCTGTAGTCTTTTACTGTTATTCAGGATGATCAATGCCAACAATATCCCTCTTCCTCTTTCCACCAGAGAAAGTGGCATGGAAGCGAGCAGTGCGTGGTGTGCGGGAGATGTGTGATGTATGTGAAACAACTCTCTTCAACATCCACTGGGTTTGTCGCAAATGTGGATTTGGGGTCTGCCTTGACTGTTACAGGCTCAGAAAAAGCCGTCCGCGCAGTGGTGAGCAAATATTGTCCTGTTCAATTCTAAAGGTAACCTGTCATTGGAGGTATGGGACTTGAAGCAAGAATGGGTTTGTGCCCCCATTTTAGCTGCTTAGCTTCACTCATTTTTGTTGCATTATGAGGCGTTGTGGTTGCCAATATTCCAGCCTAACTGGGAAGGCTAAAACAATCCAAGGAGAGTTATTCTTCATCTTCCCTTGTGTGTGTGTTTTTTTTTTAACAGCATCTTTATAGAGATATAATTCACATGCCATAAAATTCACCCTTTTAAAGTGTACAATTCAAAAGTTTCTAGTATATTCTCAAGGTTGTGCAACCATTTCCACTATCAAATTTCACTTTTGTCATTCCAAAAAAAAATGTAACCTGTAGCACTAACTCCCTATTTTTCTCCCTCTCCTCAACCCTTGGTAACCATTAATCTTCTTACTGTCTCATCTCTCCCTGTTCTGTACATGTCATATAAATGGAATCATACGATATTTGGCCTCCTGGGACTTGACTTCTTTCACTTTAGCATACTGTTTTAAAGCTTCATCCATGTGATAGCACGTATCATTAACTCATTCTTTTGTGTTGCCAAATAATATTCCATTGTATGGGTATATTATATTTTGTCTATCCATTCATTAGTCAGTGGACATGTAGGTTGTGTCTGTTTTGAGCTATTATGAAAAGTACCACTATGAACATTTGTGTACAGGTTTTTGTGTGAACATAGGTTTTCATTTCTTTTGAGTATATACCTAATGGGTTTTATGTGTTATATGGCAGTCCTATGTTTTTAATTCTTTCAGAAACTGCCAAGTTGTATTCCTTAGTAGCTACATCATTTTATAATCCCACTAGCAATGCACAAGGCTTCCAGTTTTTCCACGTCTTTGCCAATGCTTATTATTGTCTGCCTTTTAGGTTATAGCCATCACAGTGGCTATGAAGTAGTCCCTGTTTCATTGTGTGATTCTGATTTGCATTTCCCTGATGACTAATGGTGTTGACCGTCTTTTCATGTGCTTGTTGGCTGTATTCATCTTTGGAAAAAGGCTATTCAAATCTTGTGCTTCCTTTTTTCCTTGCTTTATCTTACTACTTGGCCCTTAACCTCATTCTTCCCTCTTCAGAGATATTGTGTAACCCTTGGAACATGGTGGTTTAGAGGTATGCAACTGGGATTTGAATCCTACTTCCACATCTTTTACACCACCTGTGGTATCTTAGGCTATTTTCTTAATCCCTCAGAGCTTCAGTTTCCTTATCTATAAAACAAAGATAATATGAGTATTTCTCTCACAGCATTGTTGTGAGGATTAAATGAGATCATGTACTTGAAATGGTTAGCACAGGGCCTGACATCTACTAGGTACTATGTGTTATGTAGCTATTAGATCTTCCACTTCTGCCCACGAAAGATTAACTTCTACAGGAATTGCCCTCCTGCCATAAACAATAAGAAAACCAGACTAAATATATGAAATCATGGATTTAAACATTGGACAGCAGGCAGCATGAGTCTGTCTCTTAAGAGAAGGGAAGAAACAAGGCACATCCTACAATTGCTCCCGTTTACTGCCCGCAGGCAGTTTCCAGGCTGTAGTAGAGGGAAAAGCAACTACAACGGTTTGACAGTCTCACTGAACTGAAAAAGAGATAAGAGTCTGAGAAGAGTGAGGCAGAGTGCTGAAGACGTTAGAACTGCAGAGAGATCACCTCAGTTTTTGGCTCTGTAGTGATCTGCACACACATGAGGTGAAACTCCTTAAGGCCCAAAAAGGAACTTTCAGAAAGCAATTGATTGAATAATTTCCAGAACTTACTATTTGTATTGCCACGAGCCAGACTGGAAAGACTCTGGATAAGAGTGCACAAGGGTCACGTTTTAGCAGTGGGACTAATGTAGTCCCAGAATAATGGCTGCTGTGCAGATGCCATAACAAAGTGTAAAGCAAGCCTTGGAGGGATCAAACTGATCTGCAGGTTACTTAACTATGCACCAGACTAAAATCAAACATTCTTTAAAGGATTACAACAAAATCCAGTACTCTGAAACATTAAAGTCACAAAGCTCTGCATTCAATCAGGAAAAATCAGGGTATGAGTAATAATCAGCTAAATGGCTGGCTCATTTGGTAGAGCCAAGGTCTTGAGTTTGAGCCCCCCAATGAGGATAAAGTTTACTTAAAAAAAAAAAAAAAAAAA